CTGAGCTGAAAGAAGCGCGAAAGAACCTTTCCACAGCTAAGCCATCGAACTGCAGTATAATATGTTAGGTCAATAAGCTCGGAATCACATACCATTACTCGTTGGAAAATTAGTTCAATTTGCGCATTTCTGCACAATTCTTTCGCGGGCCGGATAAAATCACATCCCGGGCCGCATGTGGCCCGCGGGCCGTAGTTTGGAGACCCTTGTCCTGGGATATAAGGCCGTGTAGTCCGTTGGGCGCTATATAGCAGAATACAGAATTCTCCAAATGGGCCCCTAATCAATATATAGTAACTTGGCTCCCAATTTTACCTAAAGCTTCTGTTTTTGATCAAGGTCATGTATTTATTCGACGTAATCTGACCCTTTAGAGCACAGTGGTTACTGTATGTACTGCTTGTTCTAATTAAAAATTTCCGCATTTTGCCCAGACTGTAAAAGCTAGCTATCCCTGTAACCTATAGGGTTGTGAGACGTCGAGGCTCCCACTTTCTCTTTGGACAATCAGCTCACAGATGGCAGTAAATTTGTGAGCCTTACGCGCAGGCCAACCTTTACCACCCATGGAAGATTCCTGGTACTCATTTCTGTCAGAGGCTGAGTCGGCCCCAGGGCCATAGTGCGGCTGGATTAGGTAAACTGAAAAAATTCCACTTCATCAGTACTAGAACACGTAACCTTCTGGCTTGTAGCATAGTTCCTCGAACAACTACACTAGCGCAGACTGCACTTCATTTATTCTCAAAATAAATTGCAATTATTTCTCTAAACTGATCTGAGACAATGTGTTTCCTGTGTGGTACGAACTGATATTTTAAATATTATTTATAAGAAACTCATGCTTCAAACAGTTCATACACAGAATTCTTCACCTATTTCAGAACTGCATTCTCATGGCAAGCCTGATGTAGCACAAGCTGCAGTCAATCCACATTCTCCCAATAAAAAGAAAGACATTCAGTCATCTCTGTTTATTTGGGAAGACAGACAGATAAAGCAGAAGCAAATATAAGATTCACGCAATATCACATTCGGTTTTCACAAATTAACAGTCATGGCTCACAGGGGCCGGTCACGGCAGCTGAGCGATCTAAGGCATGAACTGTCTTCGCTTGCTCAGAAGCAGGAATCGTGGGTTCAAATCCCACATAAGGCACGGATATTTGGTACGTGTTTGCGTTTATTCAGTGTCTGTGTTGTCCTGTGTTTAGGTAGAGGCCTTGCGACAAGCTGATCACTCATCTAAGGAGTTCTACCGTCTGTAAAATGATCAAATTAGAAAACAAACCTCAATACCGTACAAGAGAAACAGATTAAATAAGTAGTAAGTTCACAGAGTTTGGCACAATCAAACCATACAATTTGTCCCATTTAGCATGTTCATGTAAGGTATATGAGAATAATTCAATGTTCTTCTCCATTAGCTTTTATTACAGAGGTCATATCAACATAAAATAATATACAAATAAAAATAAACACTCTCAGTCTCATGGTACAACAACTGATACAAGTATTTTCAGTACATTTTAGGTTCATCCCATAAAAATAAAAGAATTTAAGACATAAAAGCAGAAAAAGGGGTAAATGGAATGGAATAAGGATGCAAATTTTTATTGCAAGTTAAATGTGCTGAATTTGACAAGAAGATAAATTATTCTGAACTGCTAAAGAGAAAAGTGCATAAATTTCATCTTCATCTGCTGGCAACACTGTTGGGCTAATGTGCCTCAATATCATGTATAGTACAAATTCAGTCAGATATTTCATCAAACTTCATCTAGTCAAAACTAAACTGTTTCACTCAGACAAATGAAAGTGTTACATAAAACAGCTAAAAACTGGCATATAAAATGCAAAACATGGCCACAGCTTTCAGTAACACAAACTTCCAATTCCTCTTTCTGAGATTAAAATCTTACACAAAAGACAAATGTTTAGTACCAACTGATGATACTATAAAACAGCCAAGAGGCTCCCAAAATTGAATGCAATGTCCTCTTTTCTTACTAGATAGATGAACTACTGTCATGGTCACTGTCTTGACAATGCAGGTACTGGCAACACAGTGTGGCTTCTTTAATAATACTATGACTTATGCCATGTCATGACATTTTAACCATTACCATTATATTGCGGTTATTTGTTTAATGAAATTTAATTCCTCTTCTTGTCAGCAGCCTTGACAGTGCTCCACTGTCCACAGTCCTTGTGCTGAGACAGCCTCCGAACCTTCACAATGATCAGCAGTAAGTTAATAAAGTTGATGCCATACGTGGTGACGCAGACTATACAGAAATCATACAGTACAGCGTACAGGATGTACGCCAGGTAGACAGATGCAAGGTTCGACACAACAGCTAGAAGCAGCATCAGCTTAGTTGCCCACAAAGTGCACATGAAATCTGAACACAGAAAAGATATTATTATTATTATCATCATCATCATCATCATCATCATCATCATCATCATCATCATCATCATCATTTGCAGCAGTAGCAGCAGCAGCAGTACTAGTAGTAGCAGCAGCAGCAGCAGTAGTAGTAGGAGGAGGACCAGCCCGCATAATGAACCTTCAGGTTCCATAGAAAGGTGAAGTATTTCTTTGATAGTTGAGCGACTATTAGCTTCGCAAGACAGAATCTGCTCAATGGAGTTAGTGATTTGGTCAGTCAGTCAGTCAGTGAGTGAGTGAGTGAGTGAGTGAGTGAGTGAGTGAGTGAGTGAGTGAGTGAGCCAGTAGGTCAGTACAAGCAGCTCGCTAAATTTAAGATATTACATAATGAGTGAGTTAAATGCAGTGAAGTTACAATGAATTAGATATACAGTTTGGATATGGATTAAAAGAAATCCATACAGAATTTCAGCCAGGAAACCTACTTGAAAAACAAAAACATCAACAAGAGAGTAACATTAAGCCATATCTTAAGGAAGAAGATTATGGGGATGACAGGTGACTATAAAGTGGCTCAGGATCATGTCCAATCACACAGAAAGAAAATGGAAAATGAATTCTACAGAACAGGTTATGAAGATGTGTCATAGACTTAACATCCCCAGTAGAGAGTGCAGATGTCGGATTTTTGTGGCAACAGTGATGAACAGGTAATGCATGTTCGCACCGTCATTAATACGAAAATATATAATTAAATATAAAATTACAATGTGATAGGCCTACACAGAAACATCAACTACATAATGCACTATCCTTCTCGATAATCCGGTAGTCGCTTATGTGGTCAAGAAATTTTCCACTTCTAGTTAATCCAAAGACATCACTGCATCGAATCCTAAGCCAGATGAGTAAGGACCAGACCAGCAAACTCTAGTTTTTATTATTTATTTAATATCTTCCCATGTGCAAACAGGTATCCAAAATGATCTCTTCCATGGATTTGCGACTAATCTTTGTATGCATTTTCCATCCTCCCATTCGTGCTATACAGTAATATTGTCATCACAGGGTTCAGAAATCACTGCATTCCACTGATACCAAAACCGTACAAATTCTCTTCATTAATACATGGACATGCAGCATGCAGCCTGACGGCTGGAAATATTCAGCAAAAAAACAAACCACACCCTTGGCCACGTTCAGATATTACTGATACAGCCATTTAACAAGGTTTACTTCCTCATAAACAGAAAACTACAAGTACTTACTGCAATCGGCATCACTGGAAAGGGGAGGGATTCACGAGGAACCCAGTCACGACAGCCGAAATTAGGATGAGTTTTCAGCTGGGAACTCTCAAAAATGGAACAGTGCAGTCGGTATAGCGACTGGCTATGATTTGGAAGGCAGAGAGATGGGGGTTCGAGTCCCGGTTGGGATTCTTCATTCTTCCCATCATTCAGACCTGTTCTGGGGTCCACCCAACCTCCTATACAATGGATGCTGGGTACAGTTCTCCGTGAATAAATCGGCCTGAGCGTGAAGCTGACCACTCGCTTCGAACTAGTGCTGAGATCAAGAACACGTGGATCTACATATCAACTCCACCATACGTCTTCATGGCATCGTGTTTAATTAGTTAGTTGGAGACAACTTTACCTTTTACCTTCAGCTCTCGAAAACGAAGCAGAGGGACTAATGGCTCCAGTCTACTGCGACATTCGGTAAAAGAAATGTGAGTTTGTTTCTGGTCACGCAATTTTTGTATGAACTCAAAATAATTGTTCATTCGAACGGATTTTGTATTCAAAGAATTTGCTGACGAAATTCAGTTGCTACAACGGGAGGCAATACGAGTGTAAATCCAGTTTATATATATATTTCATTGAGCGGTTTCCAGTCAGCATCAAAAGGGAAGCAAATATCACGGTGTACTTGAAAGAAACGTGGACGCCCACTTCAGGACGTCAATACACATATCACTATGCATGATCTGCATTTAGTGCACGGAATAAGGGCATAAAGAGGTCGCATCCGCCCGTCATTTCCATCCTTGTGGGTGTCTAAACCACCTGACCAGTTCTAGATGATCATTTATGGCGATGAGGCAAAGCTGTGGCGTTCTGGCCGTCCGTCGTCCCTGCGCTTAATTAATTAAGCACTATGCCATTAAGTTATATGGGGGTGGAGGTATGGCTCCACATTCTTGACACTAAATGGAGTTAGTCTGGTACACCGGCCACTTTACCTCGGGAGAAATCGCCCCCAGTGTCCACTGCAGAGGAGGCTGGGTACGTCCCAGAGCCGGTGTGGACTCTATGGAGAAGATAAAAATCTTACCCCTCCCAGGAATCGAACCCCGTCCGTCCAGCTCGTAGCCCGTCGCTATCCCGCCTCTTCAAGGCAGTATCTCGAATTCTTCTGGAGAGAGACAGTGAAACAAAATCAAGCAACACGTCAGTCTTTACGGATAGCGCGGTGGCAAGGCCAATTTTACTTTAGGTTATTTACTTATTTATTTATTTTCTGCCCTTATCTTAGACATCGAATGGTAGGAAAACTAATGAACAATGCATTGGAAAAGATATGGAAGGAGGCGGTCGTGGCCTACTTTAAGGTTCTATCTCTGGTTGTGCTATAGCTGACGCGGTTAATCGCCGGGTTCTTACCGCGGCAGGCGGGATTCCAGATCAGTCCATGTAGGCTTTGTGGTGAAAACGTGGCACAGAGATAGATTCTGTCCAACTACTTCGGATTCCCCTGCCAATTTTCTTTCCACTCAGGTGACCTGACTCGCAGCCTCTATATGTATCTACATTCTGCAACCCAAGTGAAGCGAGCAGGCCTTCCTCTCATAAATGATTCTGCTCCACAGCGTTACGGCTACAAATAATCTGTCCGACACTACACCAAGGAATCAATGCGGTACTATATGGGACTTTATCGTGTACCTTGCGGGCCTCAACTTGTTTTAAGAACAAGGTACATATGTCGCAGGCCTATAAAACACGTGCTAATTAGGATTATTCAGAACCTTTTCTAATAACATCTGTCAAATCCCGTTTAAATTCAACAGGGAATAATTTCTTCCACCTTTCTTTCACATGCCCTTTCTGCCTTTCATTTACGTTTCATTACGTCTACCTCTTTCCCGCTTCAAATAGCGAACTACGTTACACTTTTGTCCTTCAGATGGCACAGTTTCGAACATAGAGCTGCCATCTGTACAGTTACTTACAAACTATTACGGCATTACAATGACGTAAGTTATACAGCAAATCGACTTGTCACGTACTACTTATTATACATGTATTATTTATGACATGCTTCTGGAAATTCCATTTTTTAAAGTTAGGTTTTGGTGTTTTGGGATGTTTAAGGTATGTTTCGTTTGTAGATGACGACGATGATGATTTTTATAGCTACTGGGGTGGGACTAAGTCCCTTGTACTGCTGCCACTTCTGGCCTATTGTACCGATGATGATGATGATGATGATGATGATGATAATCGCTGGCTTCCCACCGCGGCGGCCCGGGATCGAGCCCCGGTCTAAATGGCACTGGGGAAGGTTCTCTCCAAGTAGTTCTGTTTCCCCTGCCAATCTTCATTCCATCAATTGCTCCACAATCACCCTCAGTTATCATCTGGGGCTGGTACAGCAGGCCAATTGTGGCTGCAGTACCAAGTGGGCTCAGTCTCACCCCACTAAGAATAATGACAAAAAAATCTCAGAGTGACATTTCCACATATTAAATGGAATCACTGGAAAAAGGCTCTGTCATCAGGGCCTCATTCGCCAGATGCACTGAGTGACCATATTCATACTTACTCAGAACAATCAGGACAGAGTAAAACAACATTCCTCCTAGACTGTTGGGTTGGTTCAGAACAGAATCTTCACCAAAAATGTGTCTTACTATGCCGAATCCTTTTCCATACCTAAAAGATAACCAATACATCAACCACAAACTCCCCAAGATATTCACAAGAAAGACATGACGTTTCTCTTTAAATAAGACACCGTCTTATTCTCTTAAATGCGACTCTGTGGAGTCAATGACATAACATGCAAAACAACAGAACTGGCCACTAACAGGGATGGACACTTACTTCCACGTAATATGCAAAGGCCTGTTCGTGATTTTGTATTCCTTTCCGATATTGTTGGTTTATTTCAGGTACACATCTATTGTAAATCTGATCAGTGGTGCAGAGATTGTGCGAATATTAATTAATTCTGCTGTTCACAAAGCTAATAAACATTAAATACATGGAACTTGATTCACAAAACAAGTTTCCTTTCATTCAGCTTAATATATGAGACATCAAAAAATATCTCAAAAGAAGGCTGTAGATCTTAATGAGATGTAGCCAACATTATGAGTTATATAATCATTTTGTGATATAATTCTCAGAACAACTGCTATTGACCTGCACAGCATTAACCACTGACCTTTGTGATAGATATGCACTGCATTTTAAACGTTGTTTACACGAACTTCAGACTTTAAAGGAATTATAATCAGCAAATTTTTATCTGAGCTTCGTGTAAAATAACGGTATGATTAAGAAATCTATGCCTATTGTGCTTTTAAGTTTCTGGAATTAACTGCTCGCACATATGCCAACTGTTCTCCTTCAAGCAGTTAATGACTATTTCTGCGCATCATACTTGGGCACGTTCGGTTCTCTAGCAAATTTAACTAAAAGCTACAATTGACAGTATGGTTACTTAATGGAATGAGTATTTAACTTTTCTTGTGCAATTTGGAAGAAAAACGTGCACATTATGTTGCGAGAAACACGGGTATATAATATTGTGGCATGTAGTCCCGATGATAGGCAACGACCACAAAATAATTAACTATACAACTGCTGTTATTAAGCACAGGCCCGTAAACACAAACAGTGGAGCGGTGTTTCCTTTCCGGTCCGTGCCGAGATGTTATAAGCAGGACAAGTTAGGAGTTGATAACCGCTGGGGTTCAGCTGTTGAGAGCTATTGCTGTGAGAAGCTTGTAGCTGAGGCCGGGGACAGTTCAAGAAACCAGAGGAAGGGGAACATCCACCGTTGAAAGCCGCTACCAAGCAACGCCTAGTGAAGAGCGTAACAGACTGAGAAGACCTAGTGTGTCCTACCGTGATTCTTGAAATGTGTAGAACATTGACAGCATTATTGTAAGAGTTCAATAAATCCTATTACCGATCCAATCCCTGTCTGTAGTCAATATTTAGGGTGAATACTTTTTTCTATTCCTCCCCAAGGTGTCCCCACCTTGCCGTGGTGGTGGGGCTTGCGTGACTCTGTGACCTGGAGAGCTATGCCGGCGTTAGTTTAACTACCGGTAGGGTCACCGATGCCGGAAAGGTCAAAGGGTATAGAGTCCAGACTAAGAGAGATACCCTGGTTCTCCAGGTTGGGGGTTGGGCATAAGGCTAACAACCTCATCCTGTAAAAATAATTTTGTTCAGAAACCTAACAACCAGCCTCGGATAAGTGGAACATATGGGAAACGGACTAAGAAAAGGACACGGAACAATGACATTGCGATGGCAACTTGGAATGTACGTAAAATGCTGTAACCCAGAAAGATGAAGTAGCCCAAGAAATGATACGCCATAAAATTGACATTATGGCATTGCAAAAAATAAGATGTCGGAAGAATGTAAGATAATGCAATACCAAACAGAATTTTAAAAGGAAGGCTATATTCCAAAAGAAGAAAAGGCAGACCCATGATGAGATGGCCAGACGATGTTGAGAACGACCGGAAAAAGATGAAGGTGAAAGGATGGATAGAGAAGATGAGGAATAGAGAGCAGTGGAGACTGGCTGTAGGGGAGACCAAGGCTCACCCAGGGCTGTGGCGCCGAGTGGTAGGTGGGTACTTTTTTCTGTTAAAGTTTTTTAATTAAGCTGTAAGAGACGCAACCTGAAAAAATTGCCCTCTTCTACTAAAATATTAGAACAAAAACCGGATGTGGGCCGATATTTAAAATCTTACATTAACACAGTTCGTCAGCAAACCAACACTGAAAAGTTCGAACTCTGACAGTAATACACGGACTTAGGTACCTTTTTGTTTAATGCGTCAACATTATTATGCTAATTATGTGCTTGTTACATAGAAGTAATACAGAAACACGTAAGCAGTGAAACTGAGGGAAGGACTTGAAAACTGCTCGTAACATGTAACCGGCCGTCAACAGTGTCGTTGCCGGTTGTGTAACTACCAGTTACGTACCAAACACAGAATTTTCCGGGTTAACAGTGCTACATAAACGCAGAATGTCTTAAAAGTTGTTTCAAGAAATATCCTAACGACTGAAACGCTTTCTCGTAAAGAAAACGATAAAAATTTAATCTTCAAGAATTCGAATTAGTATTACCCCGAAGAGTAATTTATCGTTGTAGAGTTCCCACTGCATACGCGTAATTAATTAGGCCTCTCCATCAATTACGCATTGAATGAGAGGGATAATTTATTTTACTACCCCCCCCCTTAATTAAATATTTTTCTCGCACAAAAATTTCTCAAAGAAAAGCTGTAAATCTGTATTTTATGTCGTACCAGTTTTTATGACAATCGTTTCAGAAAATTGATAATGCTAGATTTCAGCATGATGCAAAGCAGGACCGATAAGAATGGAAATTAAATTCAACCGACCTCTAGTAAAGTCACAGTTCCAAATGCCATCAAAATCCTGCTGATATTTTCCGAGATGAAACATGCCCAATGGCTGCAAACAAGGTCCGCCATTGGGCATGATCATAAGCTAGTTCAATCTACCTGCCATCTTCAAAACCTATTTTTTTATGCCCGTGTGTTATTACGACCACTTCTGCTGTCTTCCAGGAGCTCTTCCCAAAATTGTGAAAGGGGCTCCTGCTTCAGTTAACAGGTCTACATGTCCAGTCAATCTGCTTCTTCAGAGAATGCGGGGTGAAGTTCCGCGTCATGTTCATCTCCTATGCTGTCCAGTCGGTGAGACGCTTGCATTTATCCGTGTCACAACCCAGAATATTAGACATAGCTTCTCAGACAGGGCCCCAGATCCAGTTCCAGAGCTGTCCACGTGAGATTGGTGGTGAACAATTATGGTACTGGGGCAAGTTCCTCTCCAAGTGCCTCCGTATTCCCATGCCAATTATCACTCCATCGATGCTCCATTCTCTCGTCCATTATCCGGGGCCGATACAACGGGCCCGCTCGCGACCAAAGTACCAAGGAATTGTGTCTCACATAATCACAGAGAACAGAAGTGAATACACTTGTATTTTGGATAGTCCCATTTTGTAAACAGGCTAGTTTGTCGGTTATCCGGGTAGATACTTCGTGCTTCACTCGGACTCTCCCTGCAAATCCCTGAATAAGAGGCCTTTCACGTAGACCACAACCACCTTCTTACCTAATCGACTTTTATGAAAATTCTTCCAGTCATTCGACGCTATTCGCTTAATATATCGCCGTTAAATAGCCTAAAAAAACATGTGCGTGTATCATTAAATTAGTGCTTTCTAGACATACAGCTTTATTTTCAAATTACTTTGTGGTTTTCAAGTTCTTCCCTCAGGTCAGATCGTATTTCACGACCTGAAAAGTATGTGACAAAAATGGCCCCACGGGACGCTATACACTTTTAACCGTTGAAAACGGCCTTGAAATCCCTCTAAACATCTCTTTCGATTGGTCGGTCGCTTTTTTATTTGGGGGGGGGAGGTTGTTATGGATGATAGAAGTCAGCCAGAGCCATACCTGGTGAATGGCGGGTAGGGGTTGGAGTTGATCTTAGTTACCCTCTTATGGGAAAGAAATCTTTGAACAATTAAAGCGGTATGCGCAGGTGCACTGTTCTGAAACCAAAAGCCAGTTCTCATTCTCATGAAAGTCTGGTCTGATCCGACGATCCATTTGGAACATTCGTTCCATCACTTCTAAATAGGGTTCCCAGGTTTTGCAAAATAAAAAAAGGAGTGATGTCTCGTTGTTTGTTTATAACGACATTTTTCACAACTAATGGGCTCTTCTAAGCTCTGCTCTAAGCTCTTTGATGGATCTTCTTCGCCCTCAAACATTTTTGCTAACTTGACACTGACTTTCTAACGAAGATTGAACGGGATTAAAAAAACACTATCACCAACAACCTCTGCTTTGGTTTATAACCTCAAGTGTTGCCAACATTCACGAAATGCAACATAACGAAAGAAACTATAACAATGCCATTTTCCAAGGATTACAGAAATGTTATGATAATATTTAACCCATGAAATATAATTCGCAATGGACTTAAATAAAAAAACGGAGAATTATCCACTCCGGGTAAACAATAAACGGAGGAACAAAATTTGGGTGAAAACACGGAAGAATCCGGGGAAAACAGGGTATCTGGGAACCCTACTTCTAATTATAATTTAGCTTTTGGTACAAATCCCTAGTGAATGACTCGTAACAAATATCGTGTTCTTACTTTTCAGACGCCCTGTGTGCAAAACATCTAACAGTAACTTAAATCAGGTATTCTAGAAACTAGAAAACACAACGTTTCGGAAACCGGATATGTTTCCGTCCTCAGGATGAGTGGGTAAAGACACCTACTCTGTTGGGTCCCTGAACAACACCTGTAAGATTCACTAGTTATTTAATTATTTGAGACCAGGCTTCACACCCTCACCTGAGGACGCAAACAGATCCAGTTTCCGAAACGTTTTTTCTAGTTTCTAGAATACCGGATGATGGACAAAGTCCAAAAACCCTGTAAATCTGAATATTATACACCATCGTCAGAATCCTTTAGAATCTAAATTATAATACTTTAGTACGCCCCTTTAAAAACTGAAACATATCCTGAATTAACTTAATTTTACAATATGATTAATTACGTTTGATCTGTATCCCACTTTGAGCTTGTTTTTACTTACGCGGACATGAACGCTTTGGAGCAGCTCACGTGTTCGCTGATATCACACATTGCAACATAATCACTATCATGTTCTTTTGTCGTTTCCACAACATAAGCGTAATAGGATAAGCACATTCCAAAGAAGCACGTTAAATGTATTCCCCTGTTTACGTCACTCAACATCTCAAACGACATGAAGAAACGCTTTTACTTCGTGCACCAAAAACAAAACGCGTCCGTATATTACCTAACCCTCTTTCTAACAGCCTAGATATCAACGTTACTCCAACGCATAACTCTACTTACCTTACTAGCGCCACCGAGCGCTACTAACCCTACTAACTTCTACTAAACAGCCCCTTGAAACTTCCATGTTATTGGTTGACATGGCCGCCATGACACCTCGGTGCAATGCTGCTGCCATCTCTTTACAGCTTATATGAGCTAAATTTAAAATTGCCTCCAGTGCCGATATTACAATCGGTAAGAAAGTATGCTACCTTAGCAATTATTTTGAGTGCTCCCCCCTCGACCCCCTTACAATTCTTTTTCTCGCTACTTGCAATAAATACTTTTACAACGAGATCACTTGTATTACAGTCTCTCTTTCCTTCTGGCTTTCCCACCAGTATCCTATATGCATTCATCGCCTCCACCCTTTCGTGCTACATGCCCTGCCAACCTCATCCTCCTCCTCGACTAATGATATTGAACACAGTTCAAAAATTGAAAGATCTCTGCGTACAAGAGATCTGGTTGTAAAAGTATTTATTTCCCCACCAACCTATTTCTATTTTTGAACTGTGTTCAGTATTACTAGTTGAGGATGAGGTTGGCAGGGCATGTAGCACGAATGGGGAGGCGAGGAATGCATATAGGATATTGGTGGAAACGCCAGAAGGAAAGACACTACTGGGAAGACCAAGGTATAGGTGGGTGGACAATATTACGTATGTATCCCTAGTGAGATAGGATGGTATGGTATGGATTGGATTGATCTGGCTCAGGATAGGTACCAGTGGATGGCTCTTGTGAACACAGTAATGAACCTTCAGGTTCTACAAAAGGCTGGAAAATTCTTGAGTGGCTGCACAATTGGCAGCTTCTCAAGAAGGGCTCAGCTCCATAAGTAAGTTTAATATTACTTCACCCATATCCTTTGGGTTGGATTTGCGTGAAGTTCTATTAAACTTTGTCCACCACCCCCTTTCCGAAAAAAACGGCGGAATAAGAGCCTCTGCAGCCATGGAGTACAAGAGATTAGGTTGCAAATTATTTATCTGGAGAAAGTTTGTCACGAGTGCCTGGAAAGTCATAACCTTTCTTTCACATGAAACACCTCTTCAACCAAAGGCACTGAACATTGTGAACTGTGACATACATGGAATACTTGTATTTATGAAACCTGAAGGTGGGGAAACTTGAAAGAAAATTCTGTTTCCATCAGAGATACATATATTAACCTCATAATTTCCCCATAACTTACACTTGAAAGCCATACAGGACACAGCTTATCGGTTACATTTAAGTATTAAAAATCATATATTGTAAGAAACAATACTCATGTTCCCATTTATTATTATTTTCATTAGAATGATGGAATTCAAGAATGTGAAATGCACTAGTCAACAAGATTAAGACTGCATTTAACGATATAAGAAAATCTGATATATATTCATCTTCACCAGTTCGGTACTGGGCAGAACAATATGGCAGAAATAATAACATATCTTAAAGAAATGTACTGAATACTGAAAATCTGGTTATCTATTCATATTCCAGTTCAGTAATTGAAAGGTTTATATGGCAAAAGTAACTTATCTTACAAAAAATGTAATGAATACCGAAACTATGGCATATATTCATTTTCCAGTTCAGTATTGAATATGATTATATAGCAAAAATTAATAATATATGTTAAAGAAATGCAATTACTATTGAAAAGATTATGTTTATGTTCACCAGTCCAGTACAGGTAGCATTATATGGCAAAAGCAAGAGAAGGAATGCACCTATAACAACAGAAGTGAATAACGATGTAACGAAAATGAAATAGGTAAAGAAATTACATAAATAGTCCTACCCACATTCAACCCTGATACTGATGCTGCTTCTCAGAGTTTCACACTGAGGTGGATAACCTGAACTTTGCAAGTCAATTATGAAGTAATGCCTCTTCATTCTTACCTACACATAAAGAAGACCCATGTGTGTCAGAAAACAATTTCCCATACACTCGATTGAAATATAATTTCTTGAAGATAAAGGCCAGAATGAACTCTGACCCAGTGAAGTTCTAATATTCTGAGACGAAGGAAACATGTTTGCAAAGAGGGGAGGAGATGGAGCTCAAGTTCAAAATAAGTTTCGTGTATGTAATCGAACTGTGGTTGACCATGTTTTCATTCACTGCAACATGTTTGCAAAGCGGGAAAGAGATGGAGCTCAAGTTCAAAGTAGGTTTCTTGTGTGTAATTGAACTGTGGATGATGATGTTATCATTCGCTGCACAGTAGTTTCTGATGCTGCACTGCAATTGCTTGTCACCAGGGATACTTTCTCCAACTTATGAAACATTTAATGATGCTCATGTGACTATTTGGCACACATATTCTTCCANTCTGTCATTATAGACTCCATCAGAGTTACAGCAGTACCAACAATCTCCACCAGCTTCTCAGAAGGATATGTGAGAGACTGTTCTGTATCACTGCACTCCTTGAAATAAATAAAGACATTGGCTGATAGCAGCACTTCAGATGTCAGGCATGTCTTGCATGCATCACAGCTGACACCATGAAGCACCTGTCTGGCAATGGAACCACTGACATAAGCTACTGAGAGCACTTCCATGTCACCAGCAGGTACTGCAGGACTCATGTCCATCTGTACTTGCTGAGCAACATGGAAACTCTCAGGCACACCAACAGGGGTTTCCTTGTCATGGCTTGTGGAAGGATTTCGTGAAGCAGCTTCAGGTGCCCTGAAAAGCGATTGTAGATTATCCAGAAGAGTAGCACCATCATCCTCACAATTAGTTTCCCCCAGTCCTCTAAATGCAAGGCCATTGATGATTCTAGTCTTCAGGGCATCTACAAACTGTCCCACAGGTGAGTTATTGTTCAAACCACAGTTTAAACAAATAGCCCCAAATGTGTTCTCCAGGGGGTCATGATTCAGGTTTTGGGTGTGAAGGTACTCAAAACCCACCTCTTTCAGTGTCCTCCACACATGCTGGGCAGCAGTGATGTCAATCAGCCACCCACTGTGTGGAAGAGGAGGATGAAGAAAGGCAGGTCACTGAGTGGGCAACACAGTGTTTTTCCTCAGTCAACACTTGTTCCACCATTGAAACTATCAAAGAGGTTGTCAACCTCCTCAACAAACACAGCTGTTGATATGTACTCGCTGCTGCACCCAACTGAATGGGGGGGGGAACAGAAGTTAGCGTGCCTCCTTACGTGGTGAATTACAGTTTCTTTACATTGGAAAATAACACATTACTTTACAAAGGCCTAACTTTATACAAAACCTTTACATTTCATTACATCATTCCTCATATTAAAATCTTTGCCACCTAATTCACCTTAATCATATCACTGATAGTGTAGTCTGATTTCAAATATTTTTTAATTATCCTAAAAACAGTATTTGTGACATATTCTACATAACTTGTATATTGATATACAGTTTCAGGAGTCATTTCAAGTCAGATGATAATGACTTTTGTTTGATTGCAACTGGGTTCTGGGGCAATAACTTTGAAAACTAGTCCTCATTATTAGTCACTTCATTCAGAAAAGAAACATATAGTGCTTACCTGTAGCCAGTAGAGCATTGAGGCTTGCTGCACATCTGTTAAGGTGTACCCTTTCAGCTGTAGTGAAATCACTTTAAGAGAAATGTTTGTTGCACAGAAATTTATCGTACAGCATTCTAGCAGAATCAGTAGTACAGGACAACCCAACTCTTCCTGCCCATACCATAGCCCTGTAAGAGTATTACATATTGTCTCAAAACCTTGAAATAATTCATCAGTAAACATTACAAACATGGTGTAGGTGCTACATTACATCATGTACTAAAACAGACATTAATTCATTTATTTATTTTCCAGTAATCCTTACATGGCTGGAAGAACAGTGGATATAGTAATAGTCAAAGACAACAGGACAAGTTCCATCAATGATATAAATAAAAATTAATTATATTTAACCCATAACAATTACACATTTTATCAAAGACAAATCACAGTGAGTAAATCATTAACACAGTTTTCAAATATATATGTGAAAGAATGCAGCACACTAATGACACAAGACTACAACAATGAAACATAAAAGTATACTACTAGGCATCCAGCATATAATGGACCAAGATCATTAATTAATATTGGAGTTAAATTATTCCTCCAATGAGTAAAATAGACTTACCCTTTGGTACCTATCTTTCACACAGGATTTTATCAATGCATTGGCCTTACCAACTATTCCATAAAATTCTACTTTAGACAGAGAGATATTGACACAGTCAAAGGTTTTCTTCAAATCACAGAAAATGCCGATGAACATTATTGGTATTGATGTTGTCCAGCTGTTGTTCGAAAATAATTATTAAAAGAATCTGTAATCACATCATGATTATCAGTTAACTTCCAATCAATGTTTAAAAACTGTATACCTGCATTATTAATTTTTCTACCTGTGTCTGATTTTATAATGCTCCAGGTGGTTTTCATTGTGTTACTAGAATTAGAAATTGATTATAATGAAGATTTTTAGCTCCTTTAATAACAACTAGCCAAAATATTACAGTACGTTTTATAATAGTATTTCAGATCTGGCTCATACCGTGCTGAATCCCTGGGAAAAATGAAGAATATCATTCCCGTTTCCTCACTGGAAGACATGCATTCTGGAGCACAACACTTCTTTTTCCTTCCCATTTATACTGCAAGAAACAATACAATAATTAAAACAGAATCACAGTACACTCTCACTTTCTTGAGATTCTACGGTCCTTCTTTGGGCTACACCGAAAGATGCTTAAAATATAGATATACGATTTGGATGAAGTATCGTAGTTAACACTGACTTCACGTTTGTTTCTAATTTCACTGGGCGTAGTAAGCACAATCCATATACATAAGTAACACACGTATGTAAATTCATGCGTAAATGTCGATTCACGTTTCACAACATCAAATCAAAGTCCCTACTTAATAATTAATCTAATTAATTGCAGGACATACCTGAATGGCGTACACATATCTTCACACATCTTCCCCCTATTCCAGTTACATCAAAGCGACGACTGCTGACGAAGACCTTCTGCTCAATACTGCATTTTCGTTCCGTAAATGCACCAGAAGATGACAGCACAGTACAGGATTGCGCTCATAGTTCGATTAGCTTCACATAGAGAGCGGAATATGCACGGCATTGATCACTTGTAGTGTATATCTACATGAGGTTAATTTGCATGTTGGCACGCTAATTTACGAATCGTGAGAAATGCAGACAGCAGAGGGGGCAGAGAGGAGTGCGAAACGAATTTATAAACTGTGCAGTGCGCTTCAGAATTGAAGAAAAACAAACTGTTCTGTAAAGAATATAGAAAGGCAAGTTAATTTCTTTTGAATTCTATTTGTATGGAGTCCGTGAAATTCATACACTAAAACGTTTCTTACAAAATTTGTTTATCACGAGAGTTCAGTACAATAGAGTTGTCAGACATCATTTTGGATATCTTGTCTTCGTTGTGTTTATGACTGTGAACACAAATAAACATCATAAACATTCTTTATGGCCTATCTACCGAGTAATTGCTTCTCTCACTATCACACATATCCATTCATTCAACGTTACAGTATGTCTACAGATAGGTGTAACCTCTTATAGCCGACAGTATATATAAGTCCATGACTTCTTGAAGTCTCGAAATTCGTATACTGAGAGATCATACTCGAGCCCGCAGCGAATCAGATTGGCCAGTCTGCGGGAGGGACACACAATATTCGCATCAATTCGTGCTACAATCGTTCGGACTGGTCTCGTAGTCGACACACCAATAGCTTATACATATTGCAATTTCACTTCAAATATCACCCCCAACAAATTGTTGAACAGGTACCACGACGCGAGATTATACGTTATATGTCGGCCGCCCGGCCCTAGTCCCAAGCCTCTACTGCTGCATTATAGTATTTGAACAAATCGCGTCACTTCTTGTGTTGAAATGCCACATGAGAGTTGCAAATTCAAACGAGTGTTCACGTACCCTACGGAGGTGGAAAGTAAGGAGAAGGTAAAGTAAAAAAAAAAAAAGTAAAAAGTAAAGCTATCCCTGTAACAGGCCGTGGAGGCCCATAGGGTTGTGAGACGTTGAGGGTCCCACATTATCTAGACAATCGGCTCAAAGATGGCGGTAAGGTCGTCAGCCTTACGTGCCGGCCGCGCTTTATTCCCCAAGAAAATTATTTAATTAATTCCTGGTACTGATTTCTGTTAGAGGCTGAGTTGACCCGGAAGGTCGCGGGTTCAAGTCCCGATGAGGTTATTGGATTTTTTTCAGTTGACCTAATCCTTCCAGCCACACTAGGCCCTGGGGTTTACTCAGTCTCTAACAGAAATGAGTACCAGGAATTCATTAAATAATTTTCCTGGGGAGTAAAGCGCGGCCGGCGCGTAAGGCTGACAACCTTACCGCAATCTTTGAGCCGATTGTCTAGATAATGTGGGACCCTCAACGTCTCACAACCTTATGGGCTTTCACGGCCTGTTACAGGGATAGCTTTACTTTTTACTTACATATGTGGAACAACAGGTAAAATTACATTTCTTACATTTTGAGGGTTTTAAATAAGATACAGGGAGTTTCCCAGATCCTCGACAGAATAATCGAAGCGTTGTCGTATTGAGTCCAGTTACGCACTGAGAGCGCTACTGACCATAGTTGCCTGCACTTCGAAACTCAGAAAATGGAGGCTAGTTTGTCCCCAACATAACACTCTGTGTAATTAGTGTGAAAATCGTAACGCCAATTTAATCACAAGAGCAGCCATGCGTAATGAATATTGTATTTTCACTGCACATTAGCTACATAATAGGGGAATGTAATAAGTGATCACGATTAAGTCGCCGCTGTTAGTGAGTTAATCGCTAATCGAGACAAGATTAGTGCAACCAACGGTGACTTAGTGAACAGTGTTCCAGTAAAGCATGACATTCACAGAAACAGCTTGCAAATTGCATCGTTGTTTCCAAACATAGCAGTACATACATCGAATTGGATTTCCCGCGCTGACCTCTTATTTTAACTGAAATCAACGAGGCTCAGTTTTCTGTCTGGCCTATGTTGCAAATACTACGTTCTTCTTGAGTCTGTAACAGCCTCATGGGCCCCGTGAGAACACCTGGAGCCTGTTTTCAGTCGTTTATGTTGGCACGTACTTACGAATATGAACAGAAGATTATATCAAAAAACGACGGTATAAGTTGTGCTGAATCTATAAAACAATGCCGTCGTTATCGAAAAACTTCATAATTTACCTCTAGATAGCAGCAGGGTTTACTGCATACTATCATCCCACACTATATGACACGTTAGCAAAAATGAACTGTCTTTTTGATATTTTCGAATTCGTAGTATGCATATTCAGCGAAATGGTGGCATTGAAGAGTCTCTCTGGGACTTCTCGGTAGGTTATTACGATATTAGTATGAACAAACGAAAATGTATATAATTTTATAACATTTATCTTTGATAAACTATCACGAATACGAGTTTCGTACATCACAAAATCTGTGTATATGACAATGAAGTGGATTAGAAACATTTCTGTTGAGGTTAGATATATCTGATGAAGTTTCCACCGGCAAGAAATATTTCACACTTGCAAGAATTGTTTTCTCGGCAGATTTTAAGCTCCAAATTCATTAGCAATGTTCAATAGAAATAATCATTAACGCGACAACTTCATATATAATTTTATTCTAATCTACAGTATTTGTATGAGCCCGTAAATGTAAGGCCACTATATGTAAAGTGAAAGTAATATATCTCATTTGCCCGAATCTAATGCCCCCCCCCAGATTTTAATACGTCTGCATCCAGACTGTGTCATGTCAAGATTAAGGAAATCAACATTATAAACTTTACTTGTGAACGCTGAATGTGAAGTTGTGGTACGCGGTAGCGTAGTTGGTTCAGGCACTATGCTACAGGCCAGAAGGTTGAAGGTTCAAGTCCCGATTAGGTGAATTTTTTTCAATTTACCTAAGCCGTCCAGCCGCACTATGGCCTTGGAGTCGGCTCAGCCTCTAATAGAAATGAGTACCAGGAATCTTCCTGGGAGTAAAGGGCGGCCGACGCGTAAGGCTGACCTTACCGCCATCTGCGAGCCGATTGTCTAGATAAAATGTGGGAGCTTCGACGTCTCACAACACTATGGATCTTCACGGCATGTTGCAGGGATAGCTTTTTATGCTGTGAAGTTATGCCTAAAATATAAATTTAACTAAAATTTCCCAACAGTAACAATATTTTGCTCTCTTATGGCAACTAAAATTTATCTGAAGTAACAAACAATATTTGCAGTGAATGTGCTTAACAAGGTTAGAAGTGTGAGCTTATGTTGCGCAGCCTTCATTTTCTGGAGAAAATCCTACGGAAAATAATACAGTGCTTTATAGGAAACACGGTAGACCTGAAGGCTATTTATCGTTTTCATTTTTAATAACTAGTCAATAGGAAACTTCATTTTGAGTGCTGTTTTCGTAGGTGTTCTACACAGTACAATGAACAAAAATTCTTGAATTATACATTGACTTCAGATATCGCAAAGAAGAGTGTACAGTAGAACTTGGTTATAACGTCATCAAAGGGACCTAAAAATAGTGTCGTTATAAACGAATGTCGTTGTAACCGAAATGGGCACTTCCACAGTAGCCTTATGTTAGTCACGTAAAAATCTACCAAAAACCGAGTTA